TCCCTTAATATTTTACAGTGATTCTCTCCTTAGCCTTTTGGCAGCAAAAGAAAACAATTTTTCTGCCACTGTCAGCAGGAGTGTTTTTGTTTTGTTGGGTTTGTTTGTTTTTACATACACAGTTTTTTGACCGTTTACTAAAAGCGAGACCAGAAATTACATTTGCCGTTATTACCTCAAAGACTAGATGGGTGGATAAGCCAGAGCATGGTTTGGAGGAGAATGTTATAATGGGTTTGATAACTGGGTTTCTCTCTCAAACATCACACAGCATCTTTCACACTGGAAGATAGTTTATGAAATGAAATCCTAGCTTATACTGTTATTTCATAAAGCTGATAGTTGGGGATTTGATTAAGATCTCAACACACAAACAGCACCAACACTGAACTCTTCCCTTTCAGCCTGAACTCCAGCTCATACTGCATCCTACAAGACATTTCCTATCCTAAGGGAGAAGTACTCCATGCTGCCATGTTGCTCATACTCCACAGGAGGGGAACAGCCTGGAAGACACACCCATGCTTTGGAAACTAAGGTTTCCCCACATACACCTTTCCATTCTTAGTTAAGGTCCAAAGCTTAGTTAAGGCCATATCTCCAAGTCCAAACCACAGTAGTTGCTTGAGTGCTGATGATGCCTTAACACTTCAGCACTGGAAATTATCGGATTCCAATTTGTTTATGTAGGACAGGTTATCAGGAATATCGAACACATTAATTCACCACTGCATTCCTATTTACAAATACATAACACGACTAGGTAGAAATGTAGCACCTGTGTTTCCAAAAACAGCAGTATTACCACTACTTTACCTTTGCTTCTGGACTCCTCAGGAGACTCCTGAGGTACATGTTCAGGCAGGGAAGTCCCCATTTCCTCACCTCTTTCTGTTCCCTGATTGAAAGAAGGGGAAATTCCTTCTTTTTTATTTGTGTCTTTGTTTTACTCTGGGGCAAGAAGAGCTGGTTTGTATTGAAGGTTTAAGGGCTGAAAGGACTTTGAGTCAAACTCCCCTGAAAGAGCAGATCGCTACTTTACAATACTGGTACCATATTCTCCACCAGCAGGAAAACTACAAGGATGCTTTCCAATAAGGAAGCACCCTCAGTTTTCAAAAATGTTGTCTGTTCTTCCAAAACCCCAAGCCCTTCTTCCTCCCCACCCCCTTACTTCACAATATAGAAAGGCATGGCTAATTCCTGCCCTTCCTATGCTGCAGCATTGGACACCACCACAGTATCCTTCTGTATTAGTTCTACTGTAGAGAACTTCTTGTCACCTGTCCTGCACTAACATCCAAAGCACTGCTGGTACCTGCCTGTCAAAGGTAACAAGGCAAGACAGAGCAATTTCCCCCAAACTGCCCTATAAAGTCTTGTCTGGGCTTCTGCATTTAGTGCTCAGTAGCACCAAGCACGTGAAGAGACAAAACACAACCTTCCTGAAAATCTCAAGGCACAAAATTTCCTGCCCTTTTGAGCACCTTCAATAGCAACATCTACACACTGCTAAGCTTTGAGGGCAAGGGTTGTCTTTGTCTATATATTTTAAACGCATTTCTTTCATTGTAGGACAAAGATGAAAATCTTGTCAACGTGTACAGCCAAGTGCTCTTTGCACATAGCAGAGGAAGTAGTTTATTCTTCAGGTCCTCCTCATATTAGGGATGACACCGTCAACTACACTCCACCCATATTCTATGAGCAAGGCTCCTGCTCTACCCCTTCAAAACCAGCCCTCACTCCAGTCCCACTGCTTCCCAAATGCAAGAGCAGCTGCCTGGAAGGTGGCCAGGGAAAGGAATGTGCCACACCACCAGGAAAGGAGGAGCACCTGCCTCTCCAGGGCCACTGGTGGGAATCACAACAGGCAGCTCCAGCTGGCAGCAGTGTACTAAAGGCTGCTGGAGTTTCCCAAGAGCCCAGGACTTCGATCCCTGACTCCAGGGAACCTGCACTCCAATGACACCTCCACACAGACAATGCAACACAGCAAGGGGCAAACCCCAGTTGCATCTCCTGACCAAAATTTGAAAGGTAAGGGGGGGTCAATTACACATCAGAACCACACTTTATGTCAATAACATTTTACTACACATTTTATTACATCAATGGCTTGAAAAAATTTTATTTGATGTCAGCAAACATTGGAAATCATAGAAAAATGAATTATGTAGAATTTCACAAAGGAATTTACCCCACTATAATTCCTCATACAGTAAAATAATCCAAAACCAAATGTTACTTTTCAGTGGCTAAGCAATTTTATAATGCTATGAACATTCATCACAGTAAGTGTGCTGAATAATAGAAAACAGGCAAAAAAGACATTTAAAATATTACTTACAACAGCATTATTACAACATACTTTCTTTAAAATCCCAACGAGTATTTAATCACTTCAAAAGCTATACAGCATTTCCATTATATTTGCAAACTTAACCTTATACATCTTTTAAAATCTTGAAAAAACTTCTTTTAAGCAATCTATAAGCAGTTAACAAAATTGATAAAATCTACATAATGGAATACTATACACTCCAGTATAAATCTTATTTTAGGAGAATATGAATGTAAACACTCATTATTATACAACATGCATAGACTATACTGACCTTCCATCTTCTGAACTGTAACTTTCACTGCAATTGTGCTTTACTATCAACAGGAAAAGCTGCATTAATCCAGGGAGTGGCAGAAAGTATTTGCTTTAGGGGCATTGCACAAGATCACTAGATTTTTTACTTGCTGAAGACAAGCTGGAGCTAATAAAATAATTTTTCTCTTTTTTTTTTTTTGTAGACAGTAAGTATCAGGCCACTCATTGCTGAATGGGCTGTGCACAACTTTATACCAGTTGGAAAAACATGCATTATCAAAAGAAATCTCCTCCGGTATTTTTGCATTTTGTTGACTTGGAGATTTTTGTTCACAAATCCAGTGATCGAGTTAGTGTAATGCACTGTTTGGCTCATATTTGGTGTGCAAGAATACCAACAGCATATTAGCGATTTCAGAGAATAAAAACTGAAATTTAAAGTGACAATGAGCATATTTTAATACATAATGTTTCTGATGTATTTGTACAGGAAAGAAAAATGTTTGTTGGGACATTGCTTTAAGAGAATAAGAGTTTCACTCTTATTTTAACAATTAAAAAAGTGTTCTAGTGGATATTCATGGGGTCTTCCTGGTTGCAAACTTGTAAAAATACATTAAGAAATCATTATCCCCATTGGTATTAAATATATTGAGACACAACCATTGTGGCTGCATTACCAGTTATGGCTACTATGGTCTTAAGCATCTGATTGTACATTGTTGCTATACTGTTAAGCACAACTGAGGCGTGTATTTTTTTCCCTTGGTTATAAGATTAAATTACAAAAATTGATCACTGTTTCAAACCAGTTAGACACGAATATTCAAGTAACAAGGTTGTTTTAATGGATAAGTGAAAAAAGAAGTTACCTAGCACTTTACACAACTACATAAAAATTAAATAGAACAAATGAAATTTGTTTATGCATATGCAATACACTTTTATATCTTTAAGATTTCTAAAACTAAAACTTAAACTATCATTTGCTTTAACGATACCATATTTTGCACAATAACTTATACTTAGGAGAAATAATTTCCCATTTTCCACAAAATATATATAATTATGACATTCACATTGATAGTTTAAGAAACAAAATTTAAGTGAATATTCTATCTTATGCAGTTATCTTTGTGGACCCTTCTAGTCAGAATGCAACCAGTTGATGTTTCTAATGCTTGACCCATTTAAAAAAAGAAAAAGAGGGTCTTCACCTAAACAAGATCAAACCATTTCAAAAGCTAAAATGATTTTATCGCATTTAAAAACATAGTTCAAGAGAACATAAAAAACTAAACCTTTAAAATACAGTGCTATTATATTGCATGTATCAACTACAATAAGATAGCAGTCAACTGAAAAGTAATTAAACAACTTTTTTCTTCCTAATATCACGAATTATACATGTTTCCCCTACCCCTTGGGGATGAAGCCAAAACACAACTTTTCTGATCATAAGATGGACAGATTTGAGGGCCAAAACCGATGGAAAGTCCTCACAGGTAACTAACTCTCCAGCAGAAGCCTCTCCTGACGAGTTCCCCCAGCTGGGATGCAGGTTCCCACAACATTCCCACACTGGCGAGGACCTGTCTCCATGCATTGGTACCAGCAGGAGGTTTAATACTAGAGTGTTTCTAATGAGCAGCATTGCTTTACACAACTCTCAACTGGATTCACAGTGCTATTTGCCCGGTCTTTAATCCTAATTCACACACTGGCTAACAACTAGCATCCTTTCCCACAGGAGACTCCCAACTCCAACTGGCACAGGTCTGAAGGAACATCTGAACCACGATCAGAGCTCCCAGTTCACAGCAACAGCTGTAGAGACACAAACATCAATACAAAGGATAGGGAATAGCTCCCTTCCATCCTCCCATCACCTCGTAGGATCTCTCTGGAGCTACTAGAATGGAACTGCTCAGAAACAGCTGCCAGGTTTCTGAAACAGGCCCTTTGTGGGCTCCATGCTCCAGCATGCCCTAGGAAATCCCTATCTGTTCTGTGCCTGTGTGTCATTGCTCAGTTTCTGATGTTGAATTATTCTCCTCACACAAGGCCCAAGGGGAAGGACTTTCCTTGGGCTGTCCACACTGCAGGAGGTGCACAGAGCTGGCTCTATTACCCAGCTGGCATCAGCCTGCCTCGCTCAGGTACAGAGAGCAGAGCCACTACAGCACACAACATAGCACAGCCCAGTAGCTAAACATCAGCACCAAGGACGGGGCTCAACTATGAGCTGCAGCACCTCAGCTGCAGGCCAGGCCATGCACTAGCTCATTTTAGGTTGTGTTCAGAAAGGCTGGTGCTGTACATCACTGTGTGCCATCTTGGCTTGAACCCTCTGCAGAGGAAGAGAAGCAAAGAAGGTCCTTTCTTCCACCTGCAAAGACACCTGGTGGTTTCTTTCAACATCATTAAATTAACCATTTTTAAATGCTTTGTGACTAGTGTTATTTTGCAGCTTTCCAGTGGACAAGAAGTAATAATGCTGCTTCTAGTTTCTTTGAACACTGTCTGCTCGGCAGTCAGCAACTACCTTGTTCAAGGTGCAAAGTCCTCATACAGGACTTCCAAGAACAGCTCCAGTTCAAGCCAGGTCATCCGAGCAGAGGGCTGGGATTTGAAAGCTGCATGCACCAAGTATTTGGAAAAGCACCTCTTAGATTTTAAATTGCATATTTTGGTTCAGAACATGAAAGCGATGTGTGCTTCAGAAGGGTTAAAATGGCCAATGAAAATTAACCCGGTTCTTCTCCATTAAATTCCAAGAGATCAAAAACTCTTGAAGGTTGAATTTTGTGCTCCAACCCTCATCCAGACTTCCAGTGGGAGAAGCAGTTTGATGTCTTTGGCAAACAGCGCTCTGAAGAGAAATGAGACACTGGGACAGAAAGTGACCTATGGTAGCCAAATGTAAAAAGGCACATATTCCCCAAAGGAGAGGCACCAGAGGAAGTTTGTTTTGACTTAATCCCGCAGAGGATCAGGAAAAAGAAAGTTGTGTAGCACTCATTTAACAAGTTACAATGCAAATGCTGAATGCCAGGGGTTAAATAGCGTATCAAACAGTTTCAGGTTACGTATTCCCTTTTGCACTAAATAAAAGCCATTAAAATATACAGGAATAAAATGCTCAATTAGGGAGCTTTCTATGAAGCAAGAACACACAAATACAGTGGAAGGAATTGCACAAACCAGAAGTGTAATGAGTTACATCTACAACCTTGGACTGACCGAACCTTAGAAATAACATTTCCTATCACTCTGCATTATTCAAGATTGTTTGTTAACATGTCCTGTCATGGCAGAACAAACCTGACACTGCTGGCATGTGCACAGGCCTCTCCTTTATAGAAAGCTCACTAACAATAGTGTCATCGTAAGAATACACAGGAAGCGGAGACCACAAGGCCATGCAGCAATACATACTTATACCCTATGGACCAAGTGTTATAAGAACTCCTAATGTGTAGAGTTACAGTGGGGCTGCTAAGGAGCTCCTTGTTTTGCAGGTTGGTCAAAAATTTATAGGTGTTACTGGTTCTAGAAGTCCCCATGCTTAAGCATGATGTTGATGAAATGGAGAGCTGAGCTACCTGGGTGCTTTTGAAAGAAAGTGGAGGCAGTATGGAGGAATGAGGGGAGATTAAGGCAGATGTAGCACAGGACTGGAAGCGTTTGCCTTTTTTTTGGTAATAGCTGCTTGTCCACAGATATGATGCAGATGGCTGTCTGAGGTTTGCTAATACCTGATATCCTGGATAACACAGTAGTCAACACAAATTGTTCTAGGCTACAGCACCTTCTCACGAAGCAGATGCATATCTGACATCAAGAACAGAAGTAGCCTGGAGGGAAGGGGAAAGGGGGGAGAAAAAGGAGATGTTTAGTTTAAAATGAATACACAATAGGCCTTCTTGCATCTCCAAACTTCACCCCAGATCCACGGTACTAAAAGCAACTAAACAGAAAACCCTGGCACATAGGAAGAATCACAGCAGCTTTTCCTATTTTGAGGCACACTGGGATTTGTTGTTGGGAATTTAAACATACAGGAATTAAGACTGGAGCTGCAGCTGCTTTATAATCAGTAGTCTCACCTCCCTCCTTCAAAAAAAGGGAACTGTAGCCACTTGCTATGGAGAAGCCCAGAGCCCTCAGAGGGCTGATGAAGCTTTCACCAGGCTGGTGGCCAGACAGCTAAGGCATGCCAGGAGAGAAAGCACCCAAGGGACTTCAGTGTTAGGCCAGCAAAGTCTTCTCCTGGCTGCTGCTGAGTCCCCCTGACTTGACCAGACACGACCTGTGTAAGTGCCCTCAGGAGTAGGCATCAGCCACGCAGTACTGTGCAGCTCAGGAGGGACTGGGAAACCTGTTCTTAGGCCACACAGATCACTTATGGGATAATTCCAATGACATGTCACCTTGCCCCCAGAACTGCTGAGACAAGCACCCAGTCAGCACAGTGCTTATGTTATTTGTGAAGGCAGGAGCACTGCATTTATAGCCAGTCTGAGAGGCAAGGTTTGATGTGCTCAGAGAGCATCGCGGCCACTAGATATCCACTGTGGGACAGCTTTGTGTCCCTCAAACTGGGACACTTCCATATGTGTTTTTATAAAAAACTGCAGGCTTGGTAGTTAAAATCCCCTCTATGCTGCCAGCCATGACATATCAGTTCTCCTACTGTCCAGAACAGGCCTCATCAAGACCCACACACCACATGGCACTAGGCATATGTGGTCTGTTACAGCTGGCAGCTCACTGCCACCCTGCCTAGCTCCTGTCTGTGTCAGCCTGGTGCAGGCAGGCTCTGCCCTCATCCCCACAGTATTGCAGGGCACTGAGCTGCCTGACTCGACTCTCACAAGAGCTGCTGTTTCTCCAGGTTTTGCAACCATTTCCAGCAGATTGTTGTTTTGGTCTGGTTCCCACCACTCAGCACTTGTTCTGCTCCAGACTGGGCACTTTCCATCACTAGTTTCGGGGATCACAGCAGCTGCTCTAGCAGTAATTTTACCAGACCTTGCCATCATGCCTCCACTCTCCCTGCTCCTCCTCTGCTAACTCGTTTGGGATCCTCATTGCTCCAGTACCCTCACACTTGGCCACATCAGCCCACTCCAGGTTCCTGCTGCAGCCATTTTTTCCTATGTTAGGCAAGACTCACCTGTTTTGACCTCAACTGTCAGGAATAAGGGTGCATTTGAAGCTAGGGAGAATCTCAGAGGGCTCAGAGAAGAAAAGCTCTGTATTGCCAACAGATACAACTCTACTGATGACAGGAAAAGGCAGTGACATGAGCCATCTATCTTTCAAATTGGTGGCTCTACCTCTCAATTCTGGAAGAATGGGACAATTTCACTCACACCCTCCTGAGAAGGCGAGTTTTCTGAGTTTGATTTTATTTATCTGTCATACCTTTGGATCTAGTCCCCAAATATAAGCATCTTTGAATTACATGTTATTAGGAATTGTGAAGCAGTAGAGTTCTGCTTTTTGAATGCCTGAAGGAAAAGTATGGGTGACCCACCCTTAATCAGACCAACAAAGATATACAGTACACTGAGAAGTCTTTACTCCAAAATTTGCCCTACGTTGACTGTGCTTGCATTTAAAAGACATGGCTTGTGCACCAAGTTGTCTTACAAATTAGGCCAAAGGAAGTCCTTGACATTTTTAACACACAAGCCTCTACTGGGGTTTTTCTTTGCAAGATCGTGTTGATACTATACTTTTATAACTCACTTTCATATTTAAACATTCTACAGTCCCTTAGTTAACTTTAAACATACATGGCCTTTGGAAAAGTGCTAACTCCATGAAGATCCATCACGGAGATGCTGTTTCTAAAATGTCTGTCTTCAAAGAAACTGCTGTAAAAATCATGGAAACTTTGTCTTTAGGTAATTCCAGAGCGAACAGTTTCACACACACATCTTGTTTATAGCTTTCTTCCCTTCCCCCAAGTGAAGCCACTCAATCATCAAAAATGAAAGAGCAAGTTTTGGCTCAGAAGACTGTAGGGTCCCACAAAGCCAAACCTAGAAGAGTTGGGAGAACTGAGTGCAGGGAAAACATCCAAGTGAGATAAAGATGTATAGGGTTTCAGCAGTAAGAGACATTAAAATCTCCTTGTTCTGATGAGATACAGATACTGTCAGAGGGCTGCAAACCAACTGTTCTCTTTCTGCTTTCGTACATGCCTGGAATTCCCAATTCCCAAAATCAGTACTGGAATGTGTATATCCAGAGGAAGTGAAATACGCTCAGACTGAAGATCGTAAAAAATTTGCAAAGACTGTGTGTGTATATATGTATATATATATACACACACATCTATCTGAACTGAGCTCAGATCGGGAATTTTATGTTACTTTTAAACTGGATTTACCTCATCTTCCTCTTCGGACATCTTAGTGGAATTATCAGGGGATTTTACAGGCTTCTGGCTATTGGTTCCATTTGTCTCCTCTTTGCCGTGCTCTGCCTCCCACTCCTGTAGGACTTCATCTATGTTGAAACGACGTCGATAATTTACAAAAAAGTTTTTCACTTGCACCACAGATTTGTTTCCAATCACATCAGAGATTGCCTGAAAGTCTCGGCCGTATTTTCTGATTGCTGGAAGCGACAAAAAGAAAAACAAAAGCAATGTGTTATTTCCACTAAGACCACAAATCAGGCTCAAGTCACAGCATAAGGATCCAAAGCTGAACCTCTGTCAAGGTTTCAAGCCTTTTTCAGATTAATCCAGGAAAAAAGAAGTCTAAATGGGGCAAGAGACACAGCTAAGACCAGCCCTGGAGAAGAGAAGAAAATAAAGGTTTAGTAAAAGATGGGCAGAGTCAAATCTACAAGACCTGTGTAAATCTGCCTGTACTGCTTGAAAAGTTACAGAAGAAAACAGCACAGCAGTGATTTCAGCAGAGTTTCATTTTCTGAAAGCTTAGACAAGCAGACATTATTTGCAAATATTCATATGATGAAATTTATACTGCCCAGGAAGGGGTAATATTTTTGCCTTGTTCAAATACATTCTTGGTGCTTTAGTACACAGCAACGTCAAAATCCTTCATTAGCCACTGAAGGGAAACTCAGCCCTGAAATGCAGCAACGTTTTGACCATCAACAAATGAAGTACAAATAAACTTGCAGTGCCATACCTTGCACAGCAAGAAGCTGCTCATCTGTGGTCCAACGTGCATTAAATTTCTGGACGACCTAGACAGCAAAAAAAAAAAAGAAAATTAGGTAACTTCATTTATGTACCTTCACTTGTATCTGAGCTCTTAAAAACCCCTCAAAAGTGCAAAAAAGAATTGTTAGTCAAAGTATATAATTCCTTTAGTAGCAATGACATTTTCAGCATAAAGAACTGCATATGGCATCCATTCAGTTAACTGTGACATACACTGTGCCTGTAAGACATGGTAACAAAAGAAGATAGGGAAGGGCCTGAGCAGATAACTAAGAGCCACACTCTTCCAAAGCACCTACTTGTTTTTATCACAGACACCTTCTGTAATCTGGGCCAAATTACTTCCAGCATGAGGTACCAGCGTTGGAGGGAACACAGAGAAAGCCCCAAGTGCCCAAAGAAAGATAGACCATTAATACCCTCTCCCACATTTCTCAGCATTTAGAGCAAAGCAACTACCTCTCTCACAAGGGCATATAGATATAGCACTGATAAATCATGATCTATCTGGGATACCTTCTGTTAGAAGCAACTTTCACAAGTTTCAACTTAAACACTGCTTCTTATTTTCTTCTCATCTCCCATTTCCATTACACATCAGTGAATATGGTAAAGGACCTGAGTCACACTGACAACCAATAGGACATTGGTCCTACTTTACTGGAAACCAGTAGCCATGGTATGTAAACACAGATTAGCATTTATCTTCACAATAAACAAGGGTCAGGAAACGATCTTACCTCTGGAAGTCTGTATTGTTCTATACCACCTTCAAGTTTTTCTTTGAGCGCGCTGTTTGTCTGTTTGATATTCTGAATCTGAAAATAAAGTTTCATTCCTTTAAAAGGATTAAAACATATCTTTGGACAAAGCCTTTTTTCTAGCAGCCTCAGCAGGAACCCCACAAGCTCAGCCTTTCCAAAAGGAAGTGTGTGGAATGCAGGGGCAGCTGGTGAATCAGAAGATACCATTTAATTTATTCTCTGCTGTCTGCAAGTTATTTGGAGCAAAAACTGCCCCAACTTTGAGGTCTGTATAAAGACAAGTATGAGAAGAAAGACCCCGTTTGCAGCAAGTAATGAATCAAAGACTGCCAGAGAGCTTCACTTCTCCCAGAGTGCCAAAAAAAGGCTTCAGGCCAAAATACCAGTTTTATAAAGTTTAATAAAGAGTTTGAGACAGATCTCTGCTTTAGAAAGAGCAAAAATGCTCTGATCTAGGCAACAGACTCATGTAGTAAACCTGTCTTTAATCACAGATATTTGAAAAACATTTGTTTAAAAGGTAGATCCATGAGGGAAGCAAAAAGTATACAGGAAAGTTTGTATGATGCCTGTCTAAGAAACACTAAACCATATCTGCCTCTTCTAAAAGTACCATATGAAAAAGCAAAGGAAACCAGCTGCTGCAGATGGAAATCGGATACTGCTGAAACTAATGTCACCTGAGGAAAGTTCACAGTTAAAACCAAAGGAACTCTGAACTGCAAGAAACAGCAAGTGACAACAAGTGTTCCTTCAAGTCCCCGTTGTGAACTTTTCCTTGCTTTTAGGTATAAAATCGGCTTGCCTAAAGAACTACAACATGAGATGTAAAACCCAGGGCTGCATTAGTTCAGAGCAGAGAACTAGCAGCTTGTCAACTAAGCCACATAACAATGCACATCATCACTGCCAAGCCACTAATTCCTGCCAGCTTCGCAGACTGAAACAGGCCTTACCACCAAAACCAGCCCATCCATACCCCAAATCCATACCTGTCGTTTGATTGAGACTAATTCCATGTCCAGTTGTCTGAGTACAGTGGTAGCAGCTGTTGCATTGGCAGAAACAGCCTCCACATCTTCCTGGGAAAGGAACATTCCTTTGGGAGGTTTCCTCTTTGCTCTGTTTTTGGCCTGTGTACTGTGCTTCTCCTTCTTCACCTGAGGGACAGTTTCAGCAGGTGGCACCTGGCAAAGAGCAGTCATTTTACAAAACTAGATGATCTTTAAAGGTCCCTTCCAGCTCAAACCATCCTATGATTCTATGAGTTTTAGCCATCAAAGACTGGAGAACAACAAAGCTACTTTGCAGACAGGAAGACATTTTTTGCTTTAAGTGGCGTGTCATACAAACACTGTCTTGTACAAATCTCTCCTTTCTTCTAGGCAGCTTTCAGTATTTACATACAATGGTTGTCGTCTCTGCCCATTCTCATTTTGGGAGGCAGATGCACAATTTTGCAGCAGTTAACTGTTCTCCTTATTTTGAAACCTCCAAAACCTCTCTTCTTGCTTTCATCACCAGGCCTGAAGACACCATTTTAACTGAACTCCAGAAAGAAACAAAGAGGAGTTTGCAAACAGGGGAAGAACACAACTAGGACAGTTTACTGAGATTTGTATTATTACAAGTCAGACAGGAAACTGAATAAACCAAATTTATTTAAAGGCGAAGGATAAAGGAGTGAGATGACTACAGAGTAATTCTTAGATTGTTACACCATTCCTTGGAAGACAAGTTTTCTTGCATAGCACTTGTATATCAACTGTTCCATTAAACTGATGCAATTTTGCCTAAAATAAAATTTAAGTCTCTTTTGGAAAAACAAGTATTTCACAGACCACTTATTATTTTTATCCCTTACATTTAAAGTAAAGAATTTAGCACACACCTCTAACAGGGAGATTAGCCAGGACACTACACTACACATCCTTCAAGAGCACATCTGATTCTAAAAACCAAAACCATTACTTCCAGAAGTTATTTTCAACATGCAACTCATAACTAAGATTTACTACCCAGTGACTGGAGCCTGGCCAAGAACACAGAACAGAAGAAGGGTGGCAGGGAGAGAAAGCAGAGGGGAGGCTGAATCCTCTACTTGATCACTGCCAGCTTTAAACACATTGGCTTCATTTAGAGCTATTGTTCCCCTCCTAATTTGCAGCTACATGCAGTTTCTACAGAGTTTGTGACATTTGCTCATTAGTGAACATTAAATGTTCACATTTGAAACCACACAAGGCTGAGGACCAACCCCACGTAAGCATGAGGTTCTGACTCCTTAAAGACCAGAGGACTCCTCCACAGCTGTCAGCAGACAAAAGCTTGCACCCTCTTCATGGGCACAATGGCCAGAGCCACATAACAGCAGTAATGTGGACAATTGCCTGTTCTCAACCTTTTTCTTCCATCGATTAGTGCAAAGTATTCCATGAGATACGATGCCAAAGGCAAGCCCAGAAGCAAGAGGTAACTATTGCCATGGCAGGATGGATACTCCTATTTCTTTTTGCAGAAGGGAGTGGTGAACAGGGGAAAGCAAAGTGGTTTAGCTATGAGCAAGGGAGGTAAGCTCTGTACCCTGCTTCAGAAGTGAGCACTTTGATAACTGAGCCAGGTAAATAATTCAGCATGGATAGGCATTTCAGATCTGCTCCTATTTCATTTGCATACACAATTTCACAGGACCACACAGCAATAACTCACTATAGGTTCAGGCTGTAGGTTGACCAACATGCAAGTCCCACAGTGTAAACATCCTAGAAGCCTCAACATTAAGGAAAAATGAAAGCAGTTTTAAATGACTGTTTTACACAGTTCAAAAAATGCAAAACTCTTTTGTGTTGGGGACAAGAAGCCAGAACAGTTTTTGATGGCTCCAAATGCCTCTAGGACCCAGCAAAAATTTGAACATCTACTCTTTCTTGGAAACTCTTGCTTTCCTGGCCACACACATCTCTCTTTAGAATTAAATAAAGTAACGAAAACCAGAAAGAATTAAAATGCAGGGATTTAACAGTGCTCCTCTGTTTATTTAGGTATTGCCACTGCTATTCAGTGCACTTCAGTCTTACAAACCCCTTAATACAAAGTTTCCTTCCTCAGATTTCACTCTCTGAGAAGACCAAGCTATCTCAAGCCATGTAAAAGCAGAGGATGAAATGGGAGGCATTTCCAGGAACAGGGAAGATACGGAGAAAGCAGCTCTAGGTCATGACCTCAGTATTACAGAGTCACTATCTGAGGAAATCTGAACAGTTGCACTAACACTGAAAGTAAAAAGGGAAGATTCCCCCTCCAGTGATCCCCAAAAGAGGAAACAGATGAGAGATTTCAGATACTCTGAGAAATCCCAGTATTACTGGGCAAGTCAGATAGTAACCAACATGTCTCAGAGACCCAAAAAACATCGCTGAGCGGTTGGGACAAGGAGGTTCTTTACAGTAAGAGTCTTGAGCTGCTGACACATCACCAGCCCTGCACATCTGACCATGTCATTAAAAGAAACACAATGATCAAGAACAACCTTATTGCCCCCTCCTGGATACCTGCTCTCTCTCAAGGCATTTCCATCAGCCCCAGGTGCAGGTACTGTAAAATCAGAATCATAAAATCATTGTTGGAAAGATTGTTGGAAAAGTTGGAAAAGACCTCCAGGATCTTCAAGTCGAACCTTTGACCAAACACTACCATGACAACTAAACCGTAACACTACGAGCCACATTCACTCGTTTCTCCAACACCTCCAGGGTTGGTGACTCCACTACCTCCCTGGGCAACCCATTTCAACGCTTAAGAACTCTTTCAGTGAAAAAATTCTTCCTGATGTCCATCCTGAACCTCCCCTGGCACAGCTTAAGACCGTGCACTCTTGTCCTGTCATTAGTTGCCTGGGAGAAGAGGCCAACCCCCATTCTGCTACAACCTCCTTTCAGGTAGTTGTAAAGAGTGATAAGGTCTCCCACGAGCCTCCTCTTCTCCAGGCTAAACAACCCCAGCTAAACTCTTAACAGGCTATGAAGGCTGTCGGCTTCATTTTGCCCTCCAGTACAATCCCTGACCAGAAGAGCCCCCACCAGGCTGCCTGACACTGCACACACAGCCAGACTGCACATGCTGCATGAGCTTCAGATCAGCAGGAGTGCCATGGCCTGCATCAGTGTGACAGGGAGGGCACACAACCTCCTCCCACACAATATTTTCTACAAAAATGCCTTGATGGTAACTATTAGACATCTGATCTGGTTTGGCCTTACAACAGAAAGTTGGCAAAGAACTACCTTTCCCTCTTCCGCAGCAAATTGAGGGCATGTCAGCATTGGTAGGGAAGGAAGCAATAACAGAGGGAATTGAAGGGAGCTCTTTTACAGATGCAAGCTTTCGAACAGCTTACAAAGAAATCTAAACTTGAAAATTTATTAAAATATAGGGAAATAGGACAATACTATTATTTCCAAGACACTGGGGAGCTGCAGTATGCAGCTACAACTTAGCCAAGTGAGAACCCTTCCTGTTTGGCTGTTGCTGAAGCTTCTGCAGTTTCTTGTAAGGATGAATGCAAATGGCTTCACATCCACTCTGCTCCTAGACAGACATCAAGGGTGCTGGTCCTTTCAGTGGAAGCAACAGTTAGGCTTTTCTGGAAAGTCTAGAGAGCACCCTGGCACAGGCAAAGAACAGATGGGAATGTTGCAATTTTTCAGTTATTTCCATTAAAAATAATTTGTTGGAGAAATTAATCTCTCTGACAGTGGCTGACAAAACAGCTGCTCTAGGACTTTGTTTTTGCCTCAGTTAGATCATCTTTTAAAATATTTCTAGTGGATTTTCCCGACATATAACCTTTAAAGGAATTTAAAAAAGGAAATAGAATGTCCGTGGGAGAGAAATCAGGCTACAAGAAATCAGGAAAGGGAACTACTTCAAGGAGAGATGGCCTTAGGGTAAGCATCTTTCTCACTCACGCATACAACCCACGCTGCAGCTGAAAGGCAAGGTGCTTTTCTTTAGTAGCAGATAACCTGCAGGTTAAAGACATGAAGTATATGCTTTCTGGTTAAGCATCACAGACTAGGTTTTCAAAACTGTTATATCTGTGTGGCTATTTTCATCCAGAACTCTGTGCCCACTTCAACTACTTCATTTTAAGTGAGATGCAAGTACTGCACTTCAAGTAGACAAAATATTCTGCAAATAACAGGTTAAGCCCCCTCTGCCACACAAAATGAACTGGTCACAAAACCCTTCTCCTTTTCACCAATGGAGTTGCAATCCTGGTGCAACTGAAATCCTCAGAACTACTGCTGGGAATTTCAGTACATCAGGAATTTACCTCAGAATCTAAGCTGTAGATAAACACGCTCTTGATGGCCTACCTAGAACAAAAGGCTGTCTCTCCCCTCCCAAGCCATCTTAATGGGGAGATGTGCTTCTACTCCATCTCCATGCAGTTAGGTTGATTTAAACCATCACTGAAGGTGGTTCAAGCTAACACACTCGAAGAGAGAATCAAAGAGACTAGAAACAATCACAGACTACATAATCATGGGACAGTAAAGTCTGAAATTTTCCTAGTTCCATCCATAATAACTTATCTAAACTTGTCTTGATCTAAGAATAATTCTGAAGACAATTCTTTTCTTGTATGACAACTACACAAAGCACAAAAAGAAAATTACATACTGTCAGCTTCTACATGAAGTAGCTAGTAAGTAAACACTTTCATTAGTACAGAAATAAGAAAAAGAATTATACCTCCTTTTTGCTCTCCTTGTTTTGTTCAACTTCAATGTCAATTGGGTTATTTCCATTTGCTTCCTCCATTTCATCCTCACTGGAAGACAAAAGCAAACAGTACTGTATTAGTTTGTGAGACTCTCTTTTTCTATAAATAGCATGCTAAAACAAATGCATGGATGCAATATCAATTCCAACAGCTTTCCTTAGTTTTATTCCCAGGATGTGGGGTTTTTTAGAGGGTTGCAGGTATCTTTGGGTTTCTTTGGCTTTGGTTTAAGTCAATAAATTCTTAACTGTGAAGATAGTACGTACAGGATAACTTCTCAGTAGTGTACTTGGGCAAACTAAGTCTGCACAGAGATATGAAATTAATTCCACAAGTTATCTTTTAAAGAACACGGGACACTGAGCATTTTAACTTCAGGCAAACTGACAGAAAGAAGACTGAGAAATACAGCAAGTAGCTAAAACTTGGATTTCATAGAACTCCTTAACATTTTGCAAAACAGACATGCACAAGATGAGTTCCCTCAAGAACAAGCATAAAAAATGTTTGGTTGTTTTGTTTTTTCTTCAGTGACAGGTTTACATTTTATTTTCCCTTGGAAAAGAAAAAGACTATCAGTTACAGAATAATAATAGGCATGAAATTGGAGCCATACTGAAAGTGACCCTGGCACACCTGTCCAGTTTAGCTTCATTGGAATTTTAATCAGACATTAAATCAAATGTATTTCCACCATTTAGAATTTTTGTACTGTACACAACTGAAGTTAATTGCACCATTTGAGATGATGCCCAGAAACAGAAGAAATAAGGTGATGTAATCCAAGCTTTTCACTTTTTTTTTTTTAAATCAAAAAAATAAACCTATTTTGTCAAGTCAAACTTTATTGCCTGGGCTGAGGAACCATCAGCTGGTGCAGGTAGGCCACAGCTTCATTGCAGGGCAGAGCTGTACTACAGTGCTGGAGCCAACAGGGTACAGCTCGTGGCTGGCTCCCTGCTGCAGCCACATCTCAAGGAGGGAGGGACTGCCAGGTGGCTTGGGCTGGCCTCCATCTCCACAAGAGCAGTCACTTGTTCAAGCCACTTCTGCTCTCCCGAGTTGCCTGGCTCACAGCTGATTCACAGGGCATTTAGTCTAAGTAATCAGGATTCCAGGGAATAAACTCCCAAGCATCCCCTCCCAGAGTTGAACTCACAAAGCCCCTCACACACTACTAAGAACAGCTACTGAAAACCTGGTTCTAAATGCACTGGGAGTTATTTTAGCAACAACCTGAGGAGTTGGGGAATTTCCCTGCCTAGTCACAGAAGAGATACAGAGGTATTCGAGTGAGATACCTCAGACTGCCTCTTCACTTAACCCCATCTCCGAAAGAACTTCCTTGTGTTCTCACCTAGGTTCAGATTTCAGCCTTTCTACAACAGTCAAGTCCCACAGCCTTTGCTGTGCTGATAGTTTGCCTGTAATCTAGCATGTTCTCTAGACATGAGCTAGATCAAAACCCACCCACTCATTTCTGCAGTTTTAGGCACTGATCACTATAACCAAAGAGCACTCTGCAGTTCTGCCAGCACCGAATGGCACAGTACAACCTGAAAATCTGGGCACCCTGAACTCACCCAGTGTGGATTCCACACCCCACATGGCTGCACTGACAAATCCTTTGGGGGTGTGGGGTTTGGTTATTTTATGTAACGGAAGGGAAGAATGGAAATCAAAAATCAAGCTGATGGCCTTGTGCTTAGTTTGCTACAAATGTAAACCAAATATGCATTTCCAATCCATCTGCCCTCCTCAAAGGTTACAAAATTGCAGCACATGACAGCCCATACAGTTCTTTCCCAGTCACCAGATGCTGAGGTGCTGCTTTTCCTACCAAACAGGCATAGGTACCTGAGAGGTGCATTTCCAAATTGCAGTAATTTCATTTATGAGCACAGAACAAAAACAGAGGAAGTAGTATGAAAAGACCCCAAAACTACATAGTATAAGACAAACAAATACTCCTTATAAAAGATTCCATGCCCCCACAAATTAGTAGGAAAACTAAAACCAAACCAAACCAAAATAAATAAATAAATAAATAAATAAAACCTATCAGGATGGGGAGAAGAAAACCAGACAGCCTTTGCAGAGAAAAGAAAGGAACAGAGTGGAAAAAGAGACTCAAGTCAAAGAAAGTCAACCAAATACTGGACAAGTTGGCTGGCAGTATTCTCCCTGGCCCTGCCTGTTAAGCAAGTATTGTTGACCTAATGGAGAGATGGGAGAGGTTGAGTGAGTCATTGGTGTAGAACAGTTCAACGCTAGAAACACGTTTCTTCCCCCTTCCCAAACAGAGCTTGCTCACGTGCACTGGAGCCAGAAAAGAGCTCCTTGGGAAGTGCAGCAACTCCTTTAAGGGAAAAACTTTTGCAGAATTGTGCCCGATTATATTGGAAGTCTTCCAAAGCCAGGAACAACTCAAGTTTGGTCTGCAAAGACATTAACTGCATTTTAGAGCAGGTTGAGAAGGCACTTGCATCAAGCAGACGGAGTGGCTGCTGTTCAGAGGGGTTACTTTCCCCACAGACACGTGAGGCCCCTGCATTTCTGAGGCTCTGTCAGCTCCAGAACTAGGCAAAGTCATCAAGTGGCAGTTCCAACTGTACAGATATTTATAGCAATACACACAAGGCCACTGGCTGCTTTACCTTCAAGGGCTTCCATGGTTACCCAGGAGGGTGAACTTGCAGAAAAAGCAGGAATCAAGTTCATCTGCTAAACCTCAGTAGCTAGTGACCTCCGGAACACCACCAGCCTCACCCAGATCCTAATGCACCCAGCACTCCTTGGGATACCTCTGCCAGAGAGCTCATCCTGAGTTGCCCTCTGCTACCCTCTTCTCAGTCACTCAAAAACAGAGCCTTAACTTCACCTTTCTTAGGGAACAGCTTGGCCTGACAGCCTCACACTAGTCACAGTTTTCGAAGAGGCAGGGGAGGGGCTGTGTGCATACACACACAGGAGAGAGGTCCTGCACTGGAGCCTGTTCCCTGTGTCAGGTGCACATTCTCACTCTGCTGAGTATCAGAGAGGAAATAAAGGCAAATTTCTAGCTCTTTCATTACTTCCTTTTACCATCCTGCTTATCAGCTTTTCTGGCTCTGCTGACTACAGTGCCAATCAGACTGTAAACACTTTTAATTTCATTTTCTCCACCCTCACGCAGTATCAGAGAAAAGGTTCTAGAATGGGAGGGTAACCAGTGCATTAGAGGGCAATCGGGAATCGCACAGTGTTGAAAAAGGGAGCACACCTAATTGCCAACAGATTCCTTCTGGCTTTAAGCAAAGCAAAACATGCACAGCAGGGAAGAGGGGTGGGGAAAGGTGTGGTACCAGGAAACGTTTTGGGGAAAATCCTCCATCTAGTTTCTTACAAGCTAACAGGAATCTCTGGGATAGTCTAAAGAAACCAGTGTGCGGCAATACACAGCCTTTCTGCTTGCAAACCTACCTTTCCTCACGTTCCCTTTTCTGTTTACGAGCATGACGATCCATCACACTAGTTTTAGTCCTTGTCTTCTTCCAGGAGTAGTAAAATTTCACCAGGCTGGCTATTGATTTGTCAGGAAGCTGTAAATTAAACATGTATCCTTTTATATGTTTATATGTAAAGTATTCTCAGGAGTTCATATGCAATCGGTCTGGTTTTGTCAAAGAACATCTGATCTCTCTATATTGGATTGTCTCAAAGGCTCAAGCAAGGCAGTTCTGTAGCCTTTCCAAAAATGAGCTATGGCAGAGTGTTTCAGGTTAGTGCCTACTATTTAGGACATCAAAATCTCTGAAGAGCATCTCAGCAAGCCTCCACTCATCAGCCACATAGCTGGTTCCCTTCAGAGTACAGGAACAGAGCAAGAGCATATCCAAAATGAGGCCTTGAAACTGAGATAACAGTTTTAAAAGCCGACACAGACACACGTAAACAACTGCAGGAACTGCTGAATTGCAGGCACCATCCCAAGCACATCTTTGATGTTTGGTTAAATAGGTTCATTCACACGATGAAATCTATTCAAAGGCATCAACAAAGGATGTTTTCAAAAGGTGAAATGTTACTGTACGGTGAACTTACAATACAGAAAAACACAAGTCTCAGAATTAATTTTTTTGGTCCTTTTATACTAATACCATTACCCTGTAACTATGAATGAAAGGTCTGCCTCCAAAAAGCATAAAACTACATTACGACTAATTCTCTACTTCTGAAACACTCTGCATGGATGTTCTTACACAGGACTTTTAAAAGGTAAAAGTCCAGCCTTTCTTGCTGAATAAAACATGTTTTAGTTAAGTGTCTGGTTCAGCTTGGAGGGCAGAACAGGTGGGGCTTGAAACAAAACTGAGCAAGAGGCAGTTCTCTCTTATTCAGATACTGCAGTTTAAGTCTTGAGATAAGCCTGGTTCTCAAACTGCAGATTGACTTTAGGTTCTAATAGTGGATCACACCAGAACTACCGCCCTGGCCCACAGCTGCACACAGGCAGAAATCCATCTGTGCTGGCAAAGCGCAGGTGCTGTGTCGATGTTGTGTTGCCAATAGCCACACAACAGGCTGGTATGCTGAAATTAAGAGTTCCACAGAACAAACTCAGGGACAAGGCTGTTCCTGACAAACATCCACTTGGCTACAAATCCGTGCTAAGAGTGCCAAAATATCAGAACTAGCTTCGGTAAATAATGTAACTTGCTCTTCATTCTCTGGCTTTGATGATTTCTCCCCTCAGTTTCAAACTGCATTGGTGCTAATGGGGCAGCATATATAAACTAACTACTAACATGCTCCTGAGCCATTGATTCCTGTCCCCTGCTAAACACAAAGCTTCTTGCCATTTAATTTCTTTCATGCAGGATGGCTTTCCTGGGAGCAACAGTAAAAAAGTATCATTAGCTAGGGAACAGTGCATTAGCTTGGCATCCCTGTATTGGAATGCACTTCACTGAGGGACAGAGCCATGCTCCTGCACATAAACTGAATGGAGAATTTCTTGCTTTAGCATTTAACCAAGCAACAGGATAGGCTTTATGTTCTCTTTTTTCCCCTAGGACATTTCCCTCCCCTTTTTTTCTGCCCTATATAAAAACAGAGGAATAACGAAGCTTCACCCTTCAAGAGTTCCACAAGTACAGACTGCCCACAGTTTCTGCAAGCCCTGTCACCTGACCGAAGGGAGTGGGAGACCCTAGGACTCCAAGAACATTTGGAAATGGACATCAGTGAAGGAACATTCAAGGAGGACATGAGGAGAACAAGCCTCTTCCTGCTCTTCCCTTTTGAAAAGGGATCTGGTGGTTTTCCTTCATCCGTTGAAGGCCAAGTCAGCTTTCACTTTTCAGCAGGATCAGCAACACAGACCTTCACATGTGCTTTTAAAGAGGTTGAACAGACAGACTGCAACAGCCTATGCTCACTTCAGAGGGTCACAGTCAATGTAACTGGATCCTGCTGGAACACTTGAGAGAGAGGCACTTTACTGAACGAGAGCAAAGAAAAAAGTCTGGTTCCCCACCCAGGTGATAAATTTGAAGACACTCTCAAGATACAATTAATAAAAGTTTTTTACATCCCATCCTCTCCCTCTTTCAAAAGAAAATTGCACACTCCCCTAGCACCTCCCTTTCAGGCAAAAATCTACCCCTGAAGTTTTCAATCACAGTTTAAAACAATATCAATACCAACCACAATCAAAGGACTGAATGCTTGCAATGATGTATAAACCTCCACCACAGCATCCGCTGACAGTCCCAAATCACATTAAGCACAGACTTCAGAGTTAAATAAAATTAATTCCTAAAAAGCAGGCTGTAAGAAAGGAAATCAACTTTGCACAGAGATGATCTTTATTGTGTGTGTATGTGGGCACGTGTGTATAGACCATGCCTGAACTCCAGCTGAGACAAACACTACCATGGCACACAGGGGACTGAAAACTGTAATTTTCAACCAAAAAAATTGTACAGTCAAAGTCTATCCTGAACCAGTAAAGCACTTAAGGAAAACATTTCTACAGAGACTCTGGAAACAATATTATTTCTTTCTATTCATGGCAGTATTTTCCCTCTAACATGTCCTCTGGTCTCTCCCAAGAGCATTACACATGCATTCAGCACAATCAGCACTGAAGATGACAGTCCAACTGCCTGTTCTGCTTTTCCACTTACCATCTGCTGGATCCTGTGAAAAGTTTTCCCATGGAAACTGAAGGCCTGTTCAAACAAGACCTTGTCTTCCACTGTCCACTCATCTGGGAACGGAGTAAAGTTTGGCAGATCTGCCAAAGACTTCTCAATGTTGTGCTTGTGCCAAAACAGCATCCCAAGGGCCTAGAAATAACACAGACACCAAGGGGACAATCGTAATTGAAAATAATTGTAAAAAGAAACATGATGGGAAAATGGAAAGGGAGAGCTACAACATTTTTCTCAGGCAACACAGTAGGTATAATTTTAATTCACAGCTGCATCAGATGCTTTTCTGAGCGTGAGAAGCCTGGAATCTGACCCCCACCTAGGCTGTGAAGATCAACCTGAAGTTTATCAAAACCACACAGGTAGTCACATAATAAGAGAGCAGCAACAGAAAGGTGGGAGAAGAAAACTGAAGAAATTACTCCAGCCTTACCCAACATGGTATGCATCGGAAAGCTAAGCAAAGACTTGGGAAGTCTAGGTAAAAAACCAGTTTCTTGCCAGTGCTGAATTCTATTTCCTGACAATCAGAAGGATGGTTTAGTTGACTGGGGGTTCTTATGGTTGTTTAGGGGGGTCTTTCTGAGGGGGAGGGGTAAAAGGGTCAGAGGATGAGAGAAGAACTGGAAGAAGGAGCGTGCACAACCTTGACTTGCTGCTAAAATGTCCCTGGACTAAAGGAGGAATAAATCTCACTCATTTTGGGGGCTGCTCATTTGTTCCCTTGAGAGATGCCTCATTTCACTGCTGCAGTCTCTCATTCTCAGTTCCAAAGACAAAGTACATGTGATACGCTTCAGCACCTGCAAACCATTCTCCTCCCGCTGCCTCCGAGACACTCATACGCAGCCCCCCCTCCCAGGGGTGCACAGCCCCTGTGTGCTATGACATATCACTGCCTCTGGCATGCCAGCAATCACTGCAAGTCATTTTGGGAAGGCCTGACTCTACAGAGCTAAAACCCAGCCTTTCACAATGGCTGTGAAGTGAAAGCAATCCCTAACATGCTGAGTAAAACATAAGAGTAACCTGCTCATCATATGCAAACTCAGCTCAGGTTTCACAGCCATAGTTACCCTCTTTAGTAGTTTCGCCCTGGCTGCTCAGTGTTACAAAATCCCTCCAAATCTGGGGTTTCCCCACTATGCTTTGCTATGCAAAAAGCAGTTCCTTTATGGGATCTTGTGCCCTAAGATTATGCAGAGAGCATGTGTATAAATGTTAGTGATATCCAAGATCTTCCCTGGACCCTAGTGGCCCCTCAGTGCTTCCCAAAAACCCTCTCCTCCCTTCTGTCACCATGCAGAACAAGTAGTAGTCTTGGTTGCATTACAGTCACTCAAGATGTCACAGGAGCCATGCAGCCACTCTGGCAAGCATGGGGCCAAAGGAACTACTTTACAGTCATGAAGGACTGAGTTTTCTCTCCCCTGCCATCCTTTTCAGCTTCAGACACAAGTTGTACCAAATATCCCCATGAGGAAGCAAGGGAAAAACAAGGAGCAAGACATTCTGGGAGGAGGGCAGGGTAGCATTAAATACCACTGAGATGCTAGCGAGGGCTGAGGGGACAGCTGCTTACACAAAGCAAAAGGTAAACAAAAAGATTTTCCTTATAGGCTTGTTTTAGCAGCAGAGCAATATTCCTCCTCCACCCCATGCTGCCCGAGAAGAACTCTGCACTCATACACGGATAAGTACATAGCTTTCCCAGACTCCTTTGTCCCGGGGTGTCTGACACAGGCTGGCAGGAAAACACGGCTCACAGCCAGACTTACTGTAGTGCTTCCAAAAGCCTGCGACTGCCACAGCTCAGCACAACCACCGACAGCTGTTTGCACCACCAGCTGAAGTGGGCTTGCCCTGCCAGAGCTCAGTGGCCTACAGGAGCCTGTCCTTTGCCTGCCCTCCAGCTGGCAAAGCTGCAGAGACTCCCACCAGCACAGCCCCGAGCCTCCAGCCATCATCCAACAGCAGCAGAGCCAACAGGGCACTCGGACACAGGAAGGGGACAGAAAAGACAGAGTTGGGAGCTGCACGTGGCACAGATGTGGCCAGCTGGGCTGGACGGGAACAACGCTGGGCAGAGGAGGGCTAGCACACACCCCAGAACCCTGCCAGCTGCTCATCACTCCCTTCAACAGACTGGCACATCTTAGTCTGCAGAGGGAGGCTTTGGGCAGCGGGCACAGGTGGAAGAACAGGAATCTCCATGCACTGACTCTCAGACAAGCCACCTGGACAGAAGTCCAAAGAGACCAGCTGTCAGGGGGATGTGTGTGTGGGAGAGGGCTGCCTTGGCCAGTAAAGCCCAGAGACAGTGGCCAATTGCTAAAGCAAGCTCTGACAGGCTTCCAGCTTGTCCACAGTTACTCAGCCAACAGCAACTCTGATACCTGCTGAAGACAGAGTGTCCCTTGGTGACACAACAAATCATCCTGATTTGAAAGCCTTGACACTTGTCCCTATAATACAAAATGAATACATGCCTTCCAGAGCAATAGAAGATAGATCCTCTCCAGTTATTTCCTGGAAGTGCCTAGAGTAGTTGTCTAGGAAATCCCAAAGGACCTGGGAAACATTTTTGACTCCAGAATGTTATGTGAGAGTACTACAGTAAGAATGAGAAAATTTTTAGAAGTAGGGAGTTTTTACATCCTGGTGTGGCAAGTCCTACAACTTCTGTACACAGAGAAGAGGAAAACAGAGAAAAAGACTTCAAGGAACGAGTGGGAGGTCTGTATTTCCAACATTAGAATGAATGCAAATTTCTGCTAGCTAAATTTAAGTTTTTCAACTGACAAGAATTCAGTTGGGTTTTTTGGTTTTTGTTTGTTTGTTTGTTTTTAAATCACAAGCTTCATTTGTATCAGTCTTTTGTATCAGTCTGTACTCTCCAAACATCACTTCTCCACTAAAACAATGAAACCCATTTCTATTACTCTGAGACCATCTCTCTTGGTAAATATTACCCACAATATCCAATATTAGGGTATACCCATATCAGCTGAAGAGAGTTACCATCTTTATGTTCATTTTAAGTTCACAGCCTTTTGAAGCCTTCATGCTCCTTTTATTGCTATCTTCTGCTCTTTGAAACTACAATTATCGAGTCTGATCATTCCTGGTTTTGCTGGCTATCTCAATTTCAATGTTCTTGCTCAGCAAGAAGTCTTTTTGAGCATGAGTATCAACCACCGAAAGTCTGACTCAAAGATGACAGCAGAATCATTTAAATAGAAGCCCTTGCCCATCCAAATCACTGGTTTCTATGCTCTGCCTGAACAATTTTATAAACTTTCAAGTTTTCATAGAATCCCTTTCTAGAGACAGTATGTGATTTGACAATTCAGTAAGTCATGAGATCCCCTGCCTTCCCTTTCTGGGCAAGTAGTAGTGCATGAGGAAACTCCAGAGAATTCAGAAAAGTTTCCCAGGCACAGATCTACTCATCTCCCCAACTGGTGTTGAAATCAAGTTAACACAGGAAAGACTAGTACACAATCCTAGACCACAGGGAGTAAAGGGGAGATCTGCTCCTCAGATCAGGATTCCCATCCCTAGGCTACAGGTACTGGCTAATGTCAGTGACAGCTGGCAAAGTCACCCACCATTACTGCACCGACAGGCAAGGTGCTCATCTATGAAAAGCAAAATGATTTGCAACACAGTTTTAAGGTAAATAACTGTAGATATTGGTTCACCTCAGAAAAGCATATGATGGTTCAATAGCTCATTAATAACTGCCAAGACATCCATGAAGGAAGAGATGGAGCAGTCAGCTGGAAACTGCAATGCAATCAGGCAGCTGTCCAAAGACAAGCCAATCTTTTTAAAATTGTTTAGTGGTTCTGAAAGTGTGCAGGAGGAAGCATAACACTTATGGCCAGACTGTTAGAAATTACAGTGGTTTTGGTTTTGTTTTTTTGACTCTTCATGTAAAACTAGGGGCTAACACCATATCCCCAGATAAAACTACAGGTGAACTCCATATCCCCAGAGCAAAACTTAGTGTTACTAGGAACAGTCAGTTTTGGGACAAGTAGGAGAGAAGAAAACACAGTCTATAAAGAAGGGAAGAAGCAGTTCTAGGCAGTCACTTGAAGTCATGTTTTAATACAAGCTGGAAAATATTTTAAAATAAAGTAAGTATTCAGAGAGTTGTTGTTACCTGCTCCATATTGTATCCATGCTTCTCTTTAGCAATGGCAATATATTCATCCACTGAAAAACAAAGAAGAGATGAGATCATTATATTAAATGCCCTTATACCTTTTCTGCCCTTGCCCTTCCCAGTCTAAAACCCAGATTTGCAGCTCTGACTTCAGTCCTCCACAGAGAACTCTGATGAACAGCTGCTGTTTCCAACAATTCAGGAAAGAAACAAAACAAAAGAAAAACAACAGTCATCAGACAAACTACTACATATTTTCTTAACAAGCCTCAATGATGAATGATATCTAATCCTGTTTCAGTACTTCTGAAACACAGCATATAATATTTCAAAATTTGTTCACCAAAACTGTAAACATAATTGTGTCAGCTATTTTTTGGGGGGTGTGTTTGCTTTGTTGTGGTTTTTTTGTTGGTTGGTTGGTGGGGATTTTTTTTAATCCCCCAAAGCAGTTGTTTTCTTAAGAAAAAACATCCCCAAACACAATCCATACCTTCCAATACTGCCAGACTCCTAGTGTTGCACAACCACTGCAGATATCTTGGCAAATTTTTCTACTCTTAGGCCTCAGCAATTTTCATCTTGGACCAAACCCTACCTCTATGTATTATTAGGTCCCCAAAAGCTTTTAACCTTTACAACATGAAGATGCCCTGAGCACTTATATTTTGTATAGATGGGACTAAAACCCAAATGTCTCTTTTGCTGTGAGTGACTGAGCTTACATTATATCCAACAGTAGCCATTCGAGAGGACTGGATCAAAGTCAGTACCAGTGGTGGTGTTCTGAAATCTGTGCCCTTATGCTTTCTCGTTATTAAACAGACTGTAGTGACAACATCCCTGAAAATAAAAATTCAGTCTAAAAGGTCAGACTCCTATTTCACCTAATGGAGTGGAAGACGCTGGAAGCACTCATTACCTGTAGGATCCGTAATGTACTTGGGACAGATACATACAGCCAGAGTTCTCATTCTTCTACGAGTTTTGGACTTCATGACAAGTCACAATGAACTCAAAAATCATTCCCCCTTCCTTTGCTAGAGATACCCTGGAAGGGATGCAAGTAAATTCCTGTACTGAGCACCAGAGTCATGGAGAGCATCCATAGCACCTCCAGAAGGAAAATGGTTCCGTGCACTCTGCAGCTAAGGAAGCCATATTTCCCATGGTTTGGGCCTCATGATTCACTTCAGCTCTCAACTGTGCTTCTGCCATGTGTTCTGACTTTATGAACACTGTCATGGAACAGCATGGCATTTTTTAAAGTTTTTCCTTCAAGCTGTGACAGTCCTCAATTCTTCCTTCAGCTAAGCAATAAACTCAAAAGGTACTGGGAAAACAGAAAGAATAAGTCAGAAAACACACAGCAGGACAGCAACAGCCTGTTATTTTCAGCTTGTCATTAATAATAAGTATTTAAGTCTAGGTACTTAAAGTAAACATCCCATCTTTAGACTACTCAATATGACATGTGGTACCAATGCCAGATCTTCATATGGAAAGGAGAAGCATTTGTTAATTTTCACAGAGGCATTGCAAAAGAGGGCTTTGTTAAGTGCCATGGAAAAGTCTGTGAGAATATTAATACAGCCACATGTTGTGGCAGAAGAGCATGCAATAAACACAGGCACAGTTACACATTAACAAGGGGTCTCCATGAGGTTTTTGCTCTTCCAAGCTCCTACCTGCACACAATGGCAGCTACCAATGGGCTGATGAACCTGTTTGTTGGTCCATGTTCTGGATACTTTCAGTAAAAGCTTTATTGGCCCTTTGGAAAAAGGTGCAGCCATAACCATTCATTTGCACTGCTGCAGCACAAACGTGTGTCTGTCCAAGTGAAACTGTTTCTAAGGACTGTGCTGAACTGGGATGAAAACCATCCTTTCTCACAAACAACCTTTTCTTGCACAAGGTAAGCACTGTAAAATAATTGAAAAGGCAATGGAGGTGATTGGGACAGTGACAAAAACTTCCTAGGCTGAATTCGCTGCATTGCCTAACAGAATATCCTGAGGGCAACCAAAGGCTAGTACAAACCTTGAAAATCAGCTTTGTCGTGGGGAAAAAAAACCAACTTGCAAAACCACATCCCAAGGGAAAAACATGGTCCAGGAGGGCCACACAGGGTAAGCAGGGACAGAGAAGAGATACACACCATCCCTTTCCTCCACATGCCAAACAGGGCAGGGAACATCAGTAAGATGTGGGCAAAAGAACAACTTTAGGTGCTTCCAGTTATAGATGGTTATAAAACCACACCAAAAAAAAAAGCTGCCAGGAAACCCTACATGCAGCATTTCTCTGTACTTCAGCTAAATGTTCTCAGCTTCCCTTAAAACAGACACTGCACATGCACTCTTATATATTTTGTCTAAGAAGGAGGTGAAAGAAGGAGGGAAAGGAGTTGAATTCTCTGAAGTCCAAGGCTGAATTAAGCTCCTGAATGCTAAGTACTGCTGCATTAAGTACCTCGCTTTCACTGTGGAAAGACCTACAGTTCCTCATTTCGCTTCAGCATCTTATCCTTTAATATATACAGAGAGGAGATGAGGTCATTCTCCTTTCCAGTGTATTACCTTCCTTATGCCAGATGCTGTAAGTAATGAAAACATACTTGCTTCTCAGCCCCCCAAAAAATCATTACAGCATTTTCTCTCCTAACTGAGCAAGAATATTAGCAAGGTCCCCAAATATCAGTAGGATTTCTCTTCAAACAAGTCAATACATCACTGAGCCAAACAGTAGATTATGAGTGACTGGACACCATGAAAGGAAGCAAGATGCTTTTCCTGTTACAGTAGGTTCTGTAACACATCGGTATTACACCTCATTGTTACAGTGAAGAGAAAAGAAAATAAGAAAAAGGCAATAAAGCAGTAAATATGACCATGAGCAAACAGCAGTGCTTCTTCTATACACCATAAGAGTTTGTGGGTGAAGGAAGGACAAGGAGTACACAATTGTGCTCTTCTCTTGGCCTGTTTCCTGCCCACTTACTGACAATCTAGCCCATTCTGCTTGTCATTTCGTGGCTAATTGTGGGCTCACTTGCTTTGATGCTTGCACCATCTGAGAGGTATGACAGCCCCTTAAGCAATCCTTCCGTTTGCTCTTTCTTTACCATCCCCCTCCATATGAAGTAAGCAAGGAAGAGCACGGCACCATTTCAGTCACAGGATCCCTTTAGTCTCCCATACCAGTAGAGCCTGGAATTGCCACAAGCCTAATGCTTCACATGCCACACCAGATAAATAAGTGTCCTCTTCCATCTCTGCCTTCCCCACACAACTCTAGCAAGCACAGGGCAGTGGGCACGTGAAATTCTGCTCCACTGCATTTTAGTGGCATTCAGTCACGCTCAGTGTGTAACCCAGCAATCTGTTTAGACATCACAGTTCAGAGCCAGAGAAGCCTGGGGCAGAGCTCTACTTACACCAGAAGAGACAGTTTGCCAGCACAGCTCTTCACTGCTTTCCAGAAGAGAATACGCAAGAGCAGCAGAGCATTCCCATTCCGTTTCCCCAGTATAAAATACACCACCACGCATTCTTTCTACCAGAGTAACTTTTCCCCAAACAGGGCACACAGGAGTATCCTTCCCTCCCATCCAACTCATTCCCCTATGCCAGAGAGATATTTCAATAGACCAGACCAAAAATACAATGATACTCGAATAGAAACAGTCGTGTGACACAGGAGATGCATTGCTCCTGTGAAGGCTCTTGTTGCTACTAGAAACCAGATGGGGGGAGGGACAGAAAAGAGAACCATAAACTGTTATTTCTTTACCTACTTGGCTACATTTCTTCTCTTGCATACATTTTAGCTGTGTGGGTGAGCAGGATCCCCCTGACCACCCCACACCCAAAATGGAGTGAGCACTGGCCCCTTTCATACAGTCAGTCACGCTCAGGAAGGCAGAAGCAGCACAAAAGGCAGGGACACCGAGGGAACAGCCTCACATACACAGTCACCAACAAAGAGGGGTACAAAGTACTCAAATGCTAACACACACCTCTCCCAAATACAATGAGATGACGGAAGGACCCTGCATATAGCACTAACACAGCCAAAGAGATAAGGGAAATTGAAGAGAGTGGGAAAGAAAGCAGAGAAAGATGTTTCCACCCCCTGTCATCTAGAGAGGAGAGTTTGACCAAAACGGTGCCATCAACCCCCTGAATTTTGTGTTCTTGTTTCCAGCCATCTTCCTCATAAACACTTCTCTTCTGCTAACCATCTCCCTGCAAGAATTCCTCACTAGAGGAAAAGAAAGGGGACCCTCTTGGCTGACAGAGGGAAGGAGGAACAAGAGCAAACAACTGCATTGCTGATTTTCAGTCCCGCATCCTTGAACAGAGAATCGAGAGATGTAAAACAGGAGCATTAATTTCAAGGGGCAGGAGAACTCTGAAAAGACAAATGCCTGAAAATAATGACTCCCCTCTGCACCATTTGATCACATTACAATCTCTCCAAGTGGCTCTTTCTGAAGACTTTCTGCCCCCCTACCCAAATTGTTTCTTAATGACCCCACAAGGATCACATCATGTTCAGTGGACTCAATGACCCCAAGGAGGGTTTGCAGCATAAGTGAGTGTGCTAAAGCCTATAGAAAGTAACAGGAATGCAGAGGTAGGGCTGTTGCTGCAACCTCAGTTCACCCCTATTACTAGGGTACTGCAGGAGCTCTGAACACTTTGCATATTACGTGATGCAATACCCTGAAAGAACGAGGTGAAACGAGGACAAAAGCAGCATCCTTCACAGCCTCAGTAATGTGCTTCACAGGGTTTGATCAATGTTGGAACCTGCAAGGAATTCTGGATGTTGCTATACATCTCCCCCTCCCCTGCATCTCCCCTGAGAACACGGGGAAAAAAAAGAAAATAAAAAAAAGGAAAAAAGTCAAGACCCAAAACAAATCAATACTATATAAAGAAAATAAGGACAATAGACATACAGGTGAAATTTTTCGAAATTTCAAAACACAATTATGATGGTATACAAACAACTAAGCACAGTTTTCGCCTTGACTATAAAA